TTGACTAATATGAAACACATAAGACCATTAGATAATAATAATAACAATAATAACTACTTGGAGAAATAGTTTAAAACGTTATACTCACTGATTTATTGTGATTAAAATCATATATCAATACAGCCATTTTTAAGTCTTAAATCTTTTGATAGATTTAGTTTTGGTCACTAACAAACATAAAGCTTTTCCAGATAGCATTAACATTTCACATTGTAATTATCAAACTTGACGATAGTGGTTGGAGAAACAACATGTTATTTCCAAAGCCACCAGATTGAGGGTCTAATCCATTTAAAGTTGCCATCCAGGCATTGAAGGGAATCGGATTGACGGGGCATTATTATGAGTCTAGTAAACTTATCTAACAAGGCAAATTAATTCTAACAAGCTAAGTTGGTTATCAACTGTCATGATAATCGATTGACCTATAACTGCAAGCAATAATAATCCGGTTAGCAAGTTGGCCAGATCACAATTAGGGGCTGAATAGTTGGAGATTGGCCCCAGGCGGCGATTTTCATCCAAGTTTGGCCGTTCTCGTGTCCGTTTAATATTTGAAAAAACCGTCCTTTAATAAAACGCCAAAATAAAATTGACCAAACTTGAAATGTCTACTGTGACTAATACCCTGTCAGGCATTGGTCAGAACAACAAAATCAGCATTGTTAGGTTAATAGACAGGGCAGTAGAGAGAAGAAGGGCGATAAATAACCTAAAAACATTTCAGTAAAGACACGTTGAATATTAACAACAAAAGAATAGCATTCTACTCGGGCAACCAGGCAGCACTAGAAGCAACAACCTCATCGATAGTATGCTTAAGGTTCTGTCATGACACTTGTCAGGCCTGAGCCCTTTTCTGCCATGCCAATCGCCAAAAACAAGCCGATCAGACAATAAAATAATAATAAAACGTCGGTTCAACAGACTTGAATTTCTGGACAGAGACGTGTAAAATGTTTGAAGAACCATCGCAGAAACCAACAGCCAAGAGTCATTGTGAAGCATTATTTGTTGAGTCGGAGCAGCAGAAACAATCCTGTGGACATATTGCCAGAATGAAGAAGAAAAATCCCGTATGTTCTCTATTGTCGCGAATGCCTATGCCGAGATTCCTTCTCCTGGGGGATGAAAAGGTCCTGAAGGATACACACGGGAACGCTTAACAAAGCTTTTGAATTACTCAATAGAGAAATGGGTCGCGGTGCACAAGGTCATAAAGTGGCCGACTCCTAATAACTTTAGGCGTTTTTTACATAATAATTTTATCTTATAACTATAGTGCCGCACTCACTGACTAACCATTAACTCAACTCTCTGTTAACCCAGGCGCGATTGCTTTCCCATTTATTCATCCACCCAATCTTCTGAAGCATTGACTCACTTTAGTTACTCACGCGCTCATCCCAAACATAACCCATTAACAAAAATTCCTTATCTTTTATCGCAACTACTTTCCGGGTTAGAAGTCTGGACTAACGAACACTCTGGATCAAGGTACAATGGGTATCACGATGTTTGTAAGATGTTAACTCGTGTTAACTCGAATAGATAAATGTCCCGTAAGATCGTGAACGCCCCCTTCTTTTCTTAGCATTTTAAACGTTAATTTTTCCGCAATGCTGTACCTGGCGATTGGTAGAACCAAAATTAAGATATAAAAGTACTTGAAGGCTTTTTGTCGTTTGTTTTGGTTTTCTTTTGTGTTAACTTGTAAGATGCCAGAAGTTAATAAAAAAAAAGTAAAATTAATCAACACTTTCATTCAAAATGTTATCTATGCACTCGAAAAGTACTAACAAATGGCAATCTTCAATTCGTGCCCACGTATCTAACTTGTATCCTAACGTCTAACAGCCTACAGCATTATAGGATAGGGGATGTATCTATTCTGAATGAGAGTATTAGGAAAGGTCAGAAATTACCGAAAGAAATGATTTAATTAATCCGTATTTAAAAATAAAAATACGTGTAAACAAAAATCAGCTGTTAAATTCATGGCTGACATGTCGGTCACCTATGCCCTAACGGATAGCAATATGATTACATTTGCAACCTAACTTCTAACATTGGCCCTGGCCTTTTAGATCGAGCAATATTAACTAGCCGATCCTAACAAGTCTACGTCATCATTTTTCTCGATCTAACACGACCTAACAGAGTTAACAGGTAGATCTTTGAGTAAGTTATTGGTTGAAATGAAAAAGTCAGTGCCACGAGCGGGATTCGAACCCACGACCTTCGGCTAAATACGCCGCTACTCTACCACTTGAGGTATCGTGACTTCGATCCACCCGGACACCGGACATGCTATCAAATACAAACAAACCAGCATACATTTCCATGCCATTCATTCACGGTCTATCACATAAATTAAACACATTTCTCTCGTCCGATAACTTTAAAATAGCTTTCGAAAATTATAAAACAATTCAAACACTTTTTTCCAAAACTAAAGATCCCACACCAATAACAAATAAATCTGACGTAATCTACAAAATCAATTGTTTAAACTGTCCGGCAACTTACATCGGTCTTACATCCCAATATCTGGATAAGAGAGTAAAGCAACATATCTATGATTGCAAAAAACCCAAGCAAAATCCTACAGCACTCGCTACCCACCATTTTGAACACAAAGACAATTTCGATTTCAACAATCCAAAAATATTACACACAGAACAAAACAAACATAAACGCCAATTTTTAGAAATGGTTTACATCAACAGAGATAAATACAGCATCAATTACAGAATAGACACATGTAAACTCAGTCGCAGCTACACCAATATCATTAATCAAATTCAATATAGATAACATACATATATCATAACATCACACAAAACACATATTATAAAATATAAAACATTCATCACATTCCACACATCAAACATTTTTACATAGTCTAATTTTTCAACAAGTTAGCTTCCCTTTTCCTATTTATCCCCGTCTATATAATCCTGAAAGGATAATCTGGCCGAACGTTTCTTCCCTTCGTCGGCTCTTTTTACCTCAAAGAAGCCGACTCCTTATACAAAAATGTCTTTCTATACCGACTTCCTTCCCCACCTCTTCAAAATCCAAAGTATATAAACATAAAACAGCAATATCTCACTGAAATTCTCAACACGACACGTAAGAATGGCACAATTACGCAGAAAACAAACACTTTGAGTGAGTAGAAATACTTCGATTGAATATAAAAAATATTTTTTGCATTGTATAAATTCACTTTTTTTCAATCCTACATGTATTTGTTAAATGTAAACAATGTTTGTAAATCCCAGGCCATGAAGATGATCTCAATAAAGATCGAAACGTTGGCACGATAAAGAAAATGTTTTTCTGAAACCTATAACGCACCAGACCGCATCTCACGATTTCGGAATAAATCCATTAGGTTTCGTGGTCCGATTGTTCAAATAATGTTTTTTGAATTAATTAATCTTTGAGTACAGTATTGGTTGAGATAACAAAGGGAGGTTGGTGTCCGAGTGGATCGAAGTCACGATAGTTCAAGTAGTAGAGCAGCAGCGTATTTAACCGAAGGTCGTGTTCGAATCCCGCTCGTGGCACTGACTTTTTTTATCTCAACCAATACCAAAGATTAATTAATTCAAAAAACATTATTTGGTCAATCGGACCAAGAAACCTAATGGATAGAGTTAACAGGGTTAACTCATAGATCGTGCATACCCTTCTGTATTGAAGGAAAAAGCAAATTCAGTTGTTACTGCCAAGATTTCCTCCTCTTATGATGTCCTCAAAATAGGTCGAAAGCTTAGAGCTTAAACTTTATTTGCTTTTTTCTTCAAGACCATACTTTGATCCGAGGTACGTGATCATAACTACTGACGTGCTTTACATAAAATACCATTTATGTCTTTATCTATGTTTTTATTGTTTATTGAGACGGTGCTACTTTGAACTATATTAGTTATTATTGCATGTATTATTAGAGAGAGTTGTGGAAACTTGTGTGTCTATGTTTTGACAAACTTGTACCAGCAGTGATGTAAGAGGCCTTGTCGAAACGGGACGGGATTACGGGGTTGAAGGGTCGAACGGTGTCGGCGGTCCTGTTAAAGTTTATACGGAGAGAGCCCTGTTTTCTGTTAGATCCTTTGGGGAATGCCGGGACCACCATGTTTGGGCTCGTACGGGCTTTTTCCCCTCTTCTCGCCCCCAGTTACACTAAGGAGAGGCGCACAGCTGGAAAGGATGTTTACTACTTAATTATACAGGAGGTTGCGTTATCTTCGCAATAGATGGCCGCCGACGACCAACAAGACCGAACAATGCAAATAAGTCGCATAGTTTTACAAAGAGTGTTGCTTCTTAACCGTTACAAAATCCCGAGTATATACGGTTAAGTTGATATAAACTAGCAAAAATACACATATAAAAAATGTTATTAACGAAAAAAGATGCTTAAGATATCATTGTTTATTTATTTTGATCCGGCCAATTTCAAATGTTTCTTAGTTGTTGTCAGTGTTACGTTATTTTTTCTTGATTTTTCTTACTTACCAAGAAATTTTCCTCTGTAAGTATGTGTGTGCGCGCGAGTGTGTTTGTTATGAGATATAAAATAAATTATAATAATACTGAAATCATCTAAAATATGTTCTCTTTGTATACTAAAAAAGAATAATATATAAAAAGAAACAACAGGCCTGAGAAAAAATTGTTTGTGCTAGGTTTTTGTATTGTTGTATTTACCCGTGTTTTTTAATCTTCTGGTGAAACTCCTTTCGGGAAAGGCAAACAATATCAATTAGCTGAAAAATAACTTGTAATTTCTACGTACCGAGGAGTGGAATCATTTAACAGAAATGCCCGGGGGGGTGGGTTTTTTTTTATCAAATTGAACTGGCAGAAAACCATCAGAGGGTCGGATAAGTTTGACAAAGTAACTGGTTTCTTAACCTAAACGTTTTGGTTGTTTGCTTTCTTTTTTTCATTTATAATCCTAATTTATATTTTCTTTTCTTTTTCAGTTAAGCCTTTGGATGTCCGGATACAGGAATCGAGTCAGCCTTTGTCCGCTGGCAGAAGATACGATCTCGTTTGTCTGTCAACCGGCTCAAGACCCCCTGCAAAGCTTACCTGGTGGAAAAACGGCCATCGGCTTGACAGGACGAAAGAATCGGTAAGAGATTTATTCCAGGGAGAATAAAAAGGAGGGGAAAACTAGATAGGGCAGATAGATAAAACTTACCAATATATTTTAAACAGAACCATATAAATTTAAGTCCACATTTGTTAATGAAACGGTACGCTTGAATAACGGTCTCTATCCAGTTACGTTTCTAAACGTAAAAAAAAATTGAATTAATAAAACCGTGTTGAAACTTGTTAAACGAAGCTCGGATTTCACGAACTACCAGATATTGCCTCTACAAAATAAACTTTTTATACTAGCTTTTTATTTTTTACGTTTTTGTGCACGATTTAATATGGTCTGATAAAGGTAATGAAAGAGGGAGTTAGATAGTCCGACAGAAAGATAGAGAGAAGGAAAAGGGGGTGAGAGAGACAAAGAGAAATATGAAAGTGAGAGAGAGAGGGTGAGGGAGAGTGAGAGATGAGAGAGAGAGAGAGAAAAGAAAATACACATTAATATCGGTGTAAAATAGAGAAAGATTAAATATAGATAAGTAGAGTAAAGAAAAAAAAGGAGTGAAAGGAATAAATCAATAACACAAATAATCAAACAAATTGGCAGTTAGACAAGCAGATACATGTTAGACAGGCACGGTTTGATAATTATCTTCACGTTGTTGAGTTTTAATAAAAAAATTGTTCTTTAATAATTTTATTATTTTATTTATTTCTGATCTATTCTATGTCTGCATTTCAATTTGTTAAAGCAAACATTGGTAGGGAAAATTAAACCTGGCTGATTTAGACAAGACCACAAAGCTACTATTATATCAAAGAAATGAATTTCTATGTTGGAAACATTTGAAAATTATATTTTTGGGCTATAAAAAGTCCATTTTCTTGTCACTGTACTGGTTAAAACAAAGGAAACTTTCATATGACATAGAAATTGGAGGAGACGGAAGAGGCATTTTACCAAAATTATGCACAAAACTTGACCCATTGGATAGAATTGTTTATTTATATATTCTTTTCTCATAATAATTACGTAATATTTTTTCTGACATTAACCAACAAAAATATTAGTATAATTTATAAGTAGATATTTGTTACAATAATTCTTTATATCGCAACGCAATCTCACTCTATTTCTCTCACCTCTTTTTTCTTATTTACTGTTAAAGAATATGTAAGAAATGTTAATATATGATTTTGATTAAATTAGCAGATTTTTCAGTTCAAATGAGGAGTGCTTTTCGTTATACTTCGAAAGTGTTTCTCTCTAAGCATCCGAACTAACGCGGCGCTATTAGTAANCCTCGCTTCAGATGAAATTTCACAAAATTTCTATTTTCCAACCAGTCTTCCTGTTTTTCAACTTCTTAATATTGTTAATATTTCTTATATTTTCTTCACGGAGCTAAGATCAACAGTCGTAAAAAACCCAGGAGCAAAAACTTATTTATACTAAATCTTACTTAAGTATAAATCTTGTCTACATATTTTAAAAACGGAAAATCCACAAATTTGCCACTGTGTGGCAAAGAATGAATTCATCTTTCTTTGTCTCATTTTTTTTCCTTTTGGTAGTGCGACATCTGTACACGGGTGAGCTCGAAATAATAATGAAATATTCTCAGCAACGTCAGGGGATGAATGATAAACTGGCAAGGGGATGTTTTGTGGGCCAGGACTAATCCAGGCTGGGAGGCCCCCCCCCCATTGTCCGCAGGACACTTTACTCTTGCCTTCTACAGCAACAAATCTCCACCCAGGCTAAACACATGTGCAACCAGCGTCCGCTTGCGTACAACTTGGTCCTTGATGGCCTAAGTGCTTAAAACTGATAGGTTCATCTCACACTTTTTGGTTACGGAAACAGCAAGTACACTAACCCAAATTACACAATAGACATTATGTAATAATAGGTACATGTATAATATTCTTTGTTTGGCGGAACTTTAGTTACAAAAACGAACATTCGTGATAATGTGTAGAAAGCAATTCTGACGAAAATCTGTAATAAAAGTCTGTTTTTCGAAAGCTTGTTACGGCAATTGATGTTCGAGGAGTTCCCATTCATTTTTAGAAAGTAAGACCCCCCCCCACCCGGTAACATCCTTTGGAACTACTTATGAAGTTTGAACAGACTATGAATGGAGGAAAGAAAATCAAACAAAATTGTATGGTAGACAGTTTGCTTCAAAACCAGTGAAGGAACCGGTCATGTATTTTCTGAACAAGCCCAAAATATGAGAAATCTAAGTTATTAGTAATCAGTAAAACCCTACAAACAAGTAAAAATATTACATCTAAACGCATCGAAAATCTAACAGCAGCTAAATATTGTAGCCTCACAATTTCTGGGTGTCAGGGCATAAAACGATTTTCAGTATGAGCAAGCGGACTAACTGGCCGGAAGAGAATCTTCAAAACCGTTATTAGCCAAGAATCTTTGGGAAAAGGAGATTAAATATAAGATTTTCTATTTTAGCATTTTTCCAGACAAAAAATGAGAAACCAACAGATTTTAAACGTGTCAGTCATAGCAGACAAATGGGTAACGAACTATTGACAAAACTACAGCAACCAAATTGCTATGATTAGACAGGTTAAAATTAGTCAAGGCAACGATTTCTGTTGGAGTGGGATCTGAAAAAAGGCACATCTTTCCACAAATGGCCAAACGAAAAGATAACCAAAAGAAGAGAAAAATAAAGTGAAATAATAAAACATAAGTTCACTAATTTCGTGGTCCGCTTGACCAACTAATATATTACAATTAAATAAGGTTTTTAGTCGAGATAAAATATAAGTAAATAAAAAGAGTACGAAAGCAACCTTGTTCGAAAGCATTAGGGACTTGTCTTACAAGATTTTCGGGCCTGAAATCCCATGACTCCGCGTAGTCCAGCGTTCAGGAAATTGGAAAATATAAGAGGTTTTAAAGAAAATATAATAGAACCTCTTGTAGAGCAGAACGTTGGTGCAAAACACACAGAGCAACACTGATGGAAAGATGGACGGGGATAGAATTTTCTGGGCGTTAACATTTGGTCCTCCGGGCCGGATAAGAACTAGTGGCCTACAGCCCACAACTGTAAAATGTTCTTGGCGTTAACTGATATATTCAAAGTTGAATCCTTTTTAAAAAAAGATGGTTCCTACTTACATTAAGTTGTTTCGCAACAATCCGGATTTCGAGCCCTTTAGCTCATCGTCAGGTTGAAGGGTTTCCACAAACACGTCTCTCGACATGAATTGCAGAAGTGAACCCCCGCCAACGCAATGTTCCAATGAGGAGCTGGGTTTTTAATGGCGCTCAATTTGAACGTGCGAAAAGCGGGAATTATAACACAAATAACAATTGTAATAGTAAATACTGTAAGAAATTAATTGTAAATTAGTGATTAAAGATAAAAAATATAAAAAAAAAAAAATAAAAAATGAAATAATTGTAATAATATTAAATTATTATGAAACATAATAATAATTAGAATAATTAGTTTAATTATTTGGACGTTTAATATTATTTATATACATATTTAAAATGGGAGGTAGATCAAAATCTGTTATATTATTAATGCATTTATCACCATGTTCAATTTTACATTTTTTAATTTCAAATTTCTCAAACCAATCTAGTTCTCTCCCTTTGTTGAAACTATGTAACACTGTTGTATTTAAATTTGAATTGAAATTATGTTTTGTTTCTTTTAGATGGTCCTTGAATTGCGAAAATTTGTTCGACTTAGGCAAATGTTCTTTTACTCTCGTTTTTATTTCCCTACCGCTTTGACCTATATATTTAATATTACAGTCATTACAATTGAGTTGGTAAACCCCGCTTTTTGTCAAGTTGTCTACCTTGTCTTTAGGTTTTGAAAGGATGTTTTTTAGTGAACCCCTACCCTCATCTATAAGCTATTCTAAAACCTTCTTGTTTAAAAATTGTACTAACTTTTTCCGATAATTCACCAATGTATGGCAAACAACGGAAACCTAATGATTCATTTATGGTGGGGTGGCTGAGTCCTATTGTTGATTCTTGTAAAGTTAATTTTTTTATTCTTTTAACCAGTAACCTATCAATAAATATTTCTAGATACCCGTTGTTTTTTGCTATGGTTTTAATAGTCTCTAATTCTTTTTTATAGTTAGCAGGAGTTAATGGAAGTTTTAACATACGGTCTATGAGCCAAATGAAACCTGTAGCCTTTTGAGACCATGGGTGGGAAGAATCCGCTGGAATCATAGTGTCTGTAGTCGTGGGTTTTCTGTATACATCTATTTCTATTAGGTTATTTATTATGGACAATTTTAGGTCTGAAAAGTTTAAACAAGCATCTTTGTTCATTTTCAATGTAAAATTTATATTACGGTGTAGAGAATTAATTAGTTCGAGGAATTCTTCGAGAACCTCTAATGTTCCCTATAATTTCTATTCAAAGTTGATCCTTTTCGTAAGTTATACAATATAAGGAATGGGTCTTGTAATTTTTGAATTGTTACAGTAAGAGCAAACAACTTACGTTTTTAACATTTTCAATGCAGGAATGTTTTTGCTGGAAACCCCCATTACAGGATGTATTTTTTCAAACATATTTTTGGTAAAGTACATAACAACAATTATTACGTATAAAATCATATTTATCATTAAAAAATTCGAAAAACCAGCAAAGTTGGTTGGAGGTAAATTTTCCTCCTCCGTAACGCGAGAAAATTCGAGTTATGCAATCCTACCAACATGCCTCGCGAAATCGTGAAAGTGACGTTTTCTACGGCCTTCAATAATAACTTTCAACTTTTAAATGCTTAATGTAAGGAAAATTTTCTTTAATGGAATCTTGATATTATGTACAACAAATTATGTTATGATAATATGTGTAATTAAAAATATTAACAAAAAGAAATTACATAAATTAAAGTTATGGGTTATGGCAATATAATAAGTATATATATACTTATTCTATGGCCAAACCCATAACTTTAATTTATGTAATTTCTTTTTGTTAATATTTTTAATTACACATATTATCATAACAT